TGACGACGGCTGCCGCGCTGGGGCTGCCCGGGCCAGCGGCAGCGGCCGCGGCTGCTGCGGCTGCTGCGGCCGCCGCCATCTGGCAGGAAGCATAGGGCATGGGTGAAGGCGGCTGCGGCAGTGGCCATGAGTTGTTGAGGAAGCCGGACTGCAGGTACTTGGGGGGCGCCAGGTAGCTGTAGCCGTCGGTGCCCGCGCCCGCCACGCCGCAGCCGCCCGCGGCGCCTCCGGCCGCGAAGAGCCCCTTACCGGGCTGGAAGTGCGCGGGCGGTGGCCGGAAGGGCCGCTTCATTCGGCGGCGGCGCCGGTAGTTGCCCTTCTCGAACATGTCCTCGCAGGCTGGGTCCAGCGTCCAGTAGTTGCCCTTGCGCTCGCCGCCGCCCTCGCGCGGCACCTTGATGAAGCACTCGTTGAGGCTGAGGTTGTGGCGGATGCTGTTCTGCCAGCCTTTCTTGTTCTTCTCGTAGAACGGGAACTTGGCGATGATGTACTGATAGATGCCCGACAGCGTGAGCCGCTTCTCGGCGCTCTCGCGGATCGCCATGGCGATGAGCGCCACGTACGAGTACGGGGGCTTCTGCGCCGGGTCGGCCTTCTCCGGGGCAGTCCCCGCGCCGCTGCCGCTGCCGCTGCCGCTGCCGCCGCCGCCGCCCTTCCCCGGGCTCGGCGGCGGAGCCTCGGGCTCCTTGGCTGCGCGGCCAGTCTCCGGGGCCAGTAAGGCCCCTGCGGAGTCCTCATGCTCGGGGTAGCTGGTCATCATGACAAAGCCAGTGCGCCGCGGCCGGGCCGCCACTGCTCTCCTCTCTTGGTGCTGGCGCGGCGATGTGCAGGACGCAGGAGTCCCAGACTTACGGAGACTGCGATGTCGCCCGTGCTCGTTCGTTGACGGCCTCTTGCTCTTCTTGCCTCTTCTTTCCCTTCCCCTAGGGAGCGGCCGACGGGAGTAGAGCTCAGCCTCTGGCCATGGGGAGCCCGCCCAACAGAGAGGGGCTCCGGCCTTGCCGCCCCTCCCCTCCAGGCCAGTCCCCGCCTCGGTGGGTTTTCTTTTCTGCGCTCTACCTCTCCCCCCACCCCCGGGTTTCCCGAGGCACGACCCGCGTCTCTGGCAGAGCTCCCTCCTGGAGTCCTTGGTGCGCCAGGAGCCTCTCTGTTCTGATTCGTATGGGCTCTGCCGAGTTCCGCTTGCGTCAGGCGCCTTCGCCCCTATAGCGGGGCGGCCAGCAGTGCACAGGCGAGTTCATCTCCAAGTCACTTTTTATAAACGCCCCGCATAGCCCGGACTGGACTGGCCTGTCCCCGCCCGGCGAACCTCGGGGGCCCGGCGGACAGTTAGGCTCACGTTCTCACGAGCCCTTGAAATCTTCCGGTGCTGGCTCTGCGGACTGAGTCGGGGACTGAGCCGGGGAGATGCCGAGGGAGGCCTCGGCGGGGTCCTCCAGCTTACGTTCCGTGCCCAGGGAGCTCGGGCTCCAGCGAGGAGCGGCGCTCCAGGCCTCCTTGCAGCTTTCAGGTGAAAGAGAACGATTCTTTAGCTCTGCCCTTAGCTACTGTCTTGGGGCTAAACTTCTATCTGGGAGCTTAGGAGGGGCGGGACGGTGAGGGGCCTGGACGTGGGAAAGAGCAGCTCCTTGGTTTTGGGTAAACCAGCGCAGAAGCAGCGTGTCACTGAACGAAGAAACTTAGGCCTGTCCTGTCCCTTCAACTTTCTGAGAGGAGGGTCTGGGAAGGGTCACTGCCAGGAGGCGTCCAGGGGCGCTGTCTGCAGCATCTCTGCCCTTCCCTGTGTTGGCCTAGGTATTAGGAACCAGGCCCCTCTACGCTGTAATCCGACGAGTTAGAATGAGTATTGCATGTGTGCTTTAATACCCAGTAGACCCCCCTCTCCGCTCCTGCAGGCACACAAGCCGGAATGTTTCAGTGGGGCTTTTCCGGACTGTGCATGTATGTGCACAGGTAACACAGATGGAACTGATAGGGAGGCTCTGCCCTTGAAACACATATTAGCTATCCAGGGGCACTTGTGCTGGTGCAAAATCACAGCTATGCACACGTACAATGTGTCAGCTTTGTATTTATGGGTTATAGTTTATACATACTTCTACATACATAATGATATATGTATATCACATATCAGAGTAGATGTGGTTCATAGATATGGCATCTTCTTTTCCCCCTCTCTTTCTCTCTCCTCTGCTCTTTATCATTTTTTCCCCGCCCTTCTCCCTCTCAGTATATATATTCTATCACAGCCTAGAAAGAAAAACAGGCTGAGGGGAGGCACTTGTTCACATTTCTCTCAAGAAATGTCACAAGACATTTGTTCTGATTTTCTTTCTCCAGGGTTGAGGGTTGAGTTCTTACCTACCTTCAGCAAAAGTCTTATTAGGACCCAGTTACATCAGTATGTACAGAGATTGTAACAGGAGAAATAAGTGCTGGTGAAAAAGTCAGATGTGCCTCTTAATGGTTAACGTAGTAGTAACAAAAACTCGAGATGGCCAGTGTTTTGAGTCTCTAAGCTCCAAACTCCTTGGCTCTGAGGAGGGGGACTAAGATGCTTTGTGGAGGAAGATGGGCTGAATGGATATCGTGCAGGTGTGTGTTAGTGATTGGCATGTCTGGAGTGACTGGCCCGATGCCTGTCACTACCTCTTTTTCCCACGCTGCCCAGTCTCTGAGCATCCTTGGAAAACCTGAGGAGCACACAGTGGGTGATGGCCCCAGCAACCACAGGTCACTTATGTGTCACCTGCCTGCTTCCCACTGGGGCCTCTGGTCTGGATTTGGAGATGAAAGGAAGGAGGACAGGGTAGTGGGGCTCTTTAGAATTCAACATCTTGAAGATGACTCCAGAGAGGTCAGCTGGGCAGCCTGGCCTGACCACCAGGGTAGGAGGGAGCAAGACTGTCCTGAACTCACCTCAGTAAATACCTACTCTCATCCCCAGACAGACAATATCTCAAAGCAGCTTCAGTGTTTTCCTGGGCTGTCTTCCACGGTTCCCACACAGATGGGGCAAGCGGCACTTGTTTAAAACCTCTGTGACCACTTCCTGAGCAGGAGTGAAGGTTTTTTTTTTTTTTCTTCCTCACCCTCATCTGTGCCCAGGCTATGAGTGGGAGTGGTGTGAGTCAGGTTTGGGGCTGCTGAAGATTGGCTCAAGAGCCCATGTCTCTAAGCATGGTTAGGGGGAAAACAGCTGGATCAGGCACCACCCTGGTGGGTCTGCTCTGCCTCTCCTTTTTCTTTCTGACCACCCAGGCTAGCTCTCTGTCTCTCTCCGGGAAGGCATTTCCGCTGCTCAGCCCCGCAGCAGCCAGGTGTAGCAGCATTGTTGTGTGTGTCATCACTTCCCTGAATTCCACACTAGGCTCTCTTTTCAGCCTTTAAAGGAGTTTGTGTGTGTGTGTGTGTGTGTGTGTGTGTGTGTGTGTGTGTGTGTAGGGGGTGAGGGTAAGAGGAGTTATTCTAAAGGATTTTCTGAGTGGACATAAGAGGAATCTTGCTCTCCCCAGGTGTTGATTTCTGACTGCCCTTCTGAGGAATAGAAACCCCAGCCCAGATGGTGAAAGGGATGCCCGGTGTGTGGCACTGCGATCAGTCTCCCGGTGAGATGCCAGGTCAAACTGCTGTCTGGCATGTGAAGGTTTCAACAGGCAAGGAAATGCAGCCTGGGAAGTGTGGTACGGTGATCACTTTTAGGGCCGCTCCAGGCCTCTGGAGAGAAGCGAGGGGCTTCCGGCTGGCGATGAAAAAGTTCTCTCCTTTCTGTGGCCCAGCCCGAGGTCGGGGAGGCGGGGACTCCAAGAGGGCGGTGGGGCGCCCCCTGGTTTGCTTCTTAACCCTCTTGGGCAGGCTAGGTACGGCCCAGCTTCCTGGCGGGTTCAAGATCCTGTCCAGCATGGCAGGCAGTGTGGAGGCTGCCTGGATTCCCAGGGCTGCCCCTTTTACCCTGCGCCATTAACGGACTCAGGGCCCGGGTTTAGTGACCTCGGGGCGGCTCCTGCCTCCAAGGGCCGAGGCCTGAGCCTTGCGGAGCTATCAGCCTCTCCAACCCGGCTACTGAGCTGCAGACGCCCGCAGCTGCAGCTCAGAAGCCGCCGGTGCCTCCCGCGCGTCTTCCTGCCATAGCCCCGGCTGCCCATGCGGTGCCATAGACGCGCGACGGAGCGCGGCCCCTGCTCCCGCGCCTTCCCACCGTCCATCCCCTCTCAGGGCCCCGCGCCTTAGAGATCCCAACAGTCGATGCGAGCAAGTCACTCGTCTCTGATGGAGGGAGATGCGTCTGTGTGTGTTCAGGGTCAGAAATCCTGCAACAACGGTGGGAGCGACCCGCCCTGGCCAGGCTAGCGAGCGGCGCGGCGGCCCCGAGGCAGCGCCTTCCCGGAGCGGCTCACCTCGCGCCGCCGCCAGCTTCCTGGTCCATGGTCCCCCGTCCTCTTCCTGAGCAGAGCCCTGAAACACCCGCCCGACTTCCCCTCCTGCTTGGAGAGAGGGAAAGGAACGAAGCCCGCTGCCGACCTTTCTTTGTGGGTACAGCCTCAGTGGCGCGCACAGCCGGAAAACGGAAGCTTGACTATATATGCTTATTCGCACATCCCTGTAAACGCTACATCTCAACAACTATCAGCACTTACCTAACTCCCTCCCCCAGGTCCCCTAACACCTACATCATACAAGTCAGATTCCTCAATCCATTTCTCTCCCTCTCTGTCAGCCACTTTATCTCCTCTAGTCCTCATTTTCCCCATGTTCTCTCACATTCACCTGTTACATATACTAGTCACAACCTGCACATTTTTGTGGAAAACATGTCAAACTGATGCCTCCAACTCAAAGCCTTTTCATGCACGCGCGCACACACACACACACACACACACACACACACACACACACACACTCTCTCTCTCTCATCTCACTACACACTATGTGACCTCTTGGCTCCATGTCTGCAAGTCTGACTCCCAGAAGCCTGTTGACTCTCTGATGTTCTTGGTCTGCGGTTAGGGTGACTGGGCTCCCACCAAGATATTGGCATAGTGAGGTTGCTGCCCAGAGCTCATTTGAGAAAATCAGAACACGCCCTGATGCACTTTAACACTAGGAGGAGGTTCGTACAGGTTTCATCTCTGTGTGAAGAGTATATTACCCTGTTGAGGTCGATGCCCAGACTGGCAGGCTGCAGCCTGCTGGGCTTGCACGACTCTTGTGCACATACTCACACAGCGCCAGGTCTGAGGCCAGCCAGTATTAGTCTGCCTGGTTGGGAGGAGCAGAGTCACTTACCCAAATATGTGCTTGGGAGAGAGAGTGAGAGAGGGGAGGAGGGAGGGGAAGGAAGGTAGAGAAAAACAGGAGAGGTTTCTTTCCTCTGGGGAAGAACTCAGAGATGAGAGCTATTTCCAGTTGGTAAGTGTCTTACTGAGAGGATCCCCCACCTCACCCAGTCTGGCCCTCCCTCTGGCTGCCAGGCTGTGAAGCAGCAGCCAGAGCTCTCTGGGCTCTTCCTTACCTCACTGATGTTGGGCCACAGGTCCACCAGTACCTCTTTGCCCCAAGGAGTAGGTGTCCCCTTCAGGTCGACTGCAGGGCAGTTATAGGCCTTTCTTCTGGTTAAGCCTAACTTGGAGAATGGGCAGAGGGGGCTGGCTCCTGGGCCATGTGAGGATGCTCCCAGAGAGAAGATCCAGGGTTCCAGGAGCTGCTGGCCAGCTTCTGTGATATACCCCATGGCTCCCATGACCCGATGTCATTTTGTTCAGCTGAATGGCTACTGCCCTGCCGCTAGGCCCCAATACTTGCTAGCATGAGGTGTTGTTTAAAGTCACCCTGTTGCCTTTTTCCACATCCAGGCCTAGATGGGTAGGGACTCTGTCCTCCAGTTATCACTTAGTGTTGCCTACTGGGATGGGCTCACTGTAGATGCTTAATGCATTCTGACGGAATTGGAAAATGCCTCCCTATCATACCCCA